ATATTTCATTGGGAAGTGTATCTGTCTTCTCCTGGTGACAGAGCTTGTACAAGGGCATGCTGAAAGTAATGACTCCCGATTTCTTTTCCATAACAGCAATTTCATTGAAATAGAAATGGCTACTTTCCTTGAACTTTGTTCCCTATTTTATACAATTACTTCTCAAACAACCACTTCTGCAGTCCGGACACAATTCGTCAATTAATACGCTAGTTGTGTTCCCAAAAGGTGTCACAGGGGGTGCAATGACATAAATTAAATCAGGCAGACAGAATTTTCTCTTCTCCCTTTGCATTCCTCCTCCACACCTGCACAGCATCCTAATCTCGCCTCTTGATAGGCCAGCAATTAGTTCATACTAAAGCAAGTGTTACAGGTCTATATTAATTGACTGCATTAAAATGAAACATGTTTCGAACTTGCATATACCAAGGAGTACCTGTACTTCTGTGAGTGTGGCATGGAAGAACTCTGTGTCTTGTTGACAGAACTACATTTTCGCCACTGTCTTATGGAGGCATTACTTTTCAGCATACCCTTCCAGGATGAATGTTGCTAATACCAAAGCCCACCAGTGGACACATCATGATCTACAGTCTTATACCCAGTTTTGTCAAGATCTGGTTTGATTTCTTCCTTCCACCACTTTTGCTTTGCCAAGTGGATGCTTTCCAGCATGTTCCAACAAAAATATTGTATGTATTCGTGTTCCCCCTTCTCAGCTACAGGTCCTTGATGCAACTTTCCTGACAAAACTGGAAAGCTGTATAATCATCAAGTTCCTTGGTGGGGACGTTGTGTGCTATAGCACTGTATTGTAGTCTGGCAGGCAGACACCAGGGTTCTGGCAATACACACTATGCTGCAGTCTGATAGGTGGATACTAACGTTTTGGTGGAATGTGTGCCTTCAGCTTTAGGATGACTCCAGATATCAGACATTTAGATTACATAAGCACAGATGTTTGGCCTGTTCCCATTCATGAATAATACGCACTGAAGCATCATGTTGTGTTTGCAGTCACAATATGAAATCAGGTCATCCACAAACAGCAGTTTCATTTGGCTGATGATATGGGATATCATACTGTGCAGGCTGGTAGAAGTTTAGTTAGTTAGTTATTATTGAGGGTGGGTGTCCCCATGCACTTAGACCTGTAGTGGTCCATTGTGCTTCCCTCTATGATTTCTACCAGTCTCTATATCCTACCGGTACTGGTACTTACCATCAGTCCCGCCCAGCCAGCGAGAAGCCAGCTAAGAAGTATCTATAATGCTTCCCCCATCTACCGGAGGTATTAGAGACTGCTATTGGGCGGCAAACGTCCGCAATTTTGCTCAGTGACCTCCTTTGGAGGTATGAGGTTCTTTTACGTGCCGTAAAGCTACGACACGGGACCCACGGCTTAAAGTCCCTCCCAGAGGACTTGTTCCCTGAATTTTTCCGCCCTTAAAAATTCGACGACCTCCGCCGAGTATTTGAACCCGCGTACTACGAGTCATGAGGTGGGAACGTTACCTCTAGACTACGGAGGCCGCTTCTGGTAGAAGTTTAATGACATTTCATAGGAACACATTGCCTTCAGCTTCAATTTTCCATCCTGCAAATGGAGGAAGTATATTTGTCTGCAGCGCTGGTAAAAACAAAGTATGGAGCATTACATTTCAGAAGACTTAGCCTCAATATTACTGCTGAAAGGTCAAGATGTGATAGAATGTATGTAGCAGAAGTCTACCCTTATGAAGGTGGCCAAAATGTTGGCAGACTCCTACCCACCTACACAGCATCACTTCCAACTTCCTCATGATCACTGCCATGAATATCTCACATCTCACATGTAACATTGCTGTTTGTAGATGACTGTACTTCCATTTATGAACAAGAAATATTGGCACAATACAACAATGCAGTAATTGTGTTGTACTGAATAAACTGAACTGTGATCAGTGCAAATGAATTACAATACATAATGAAATCAATTCTCAGAGCGTTGTTTGAACAAGTCTTCATCACAGTAGCGAGTCTGTTCGGAAATCTGTACAAATTAATAAGAAAAGGCAAGTGTACCACTGCAACCATTTAAAGCTATTGGTCTGACACTTCCGTCGCCCTGCCTGGACTCAAACTGCACGTGGTCACCTCAAGTTCACAGTGAAACTCTGAGTGCATACAAATATATCATAACATTTAAGCATTTTCTTATCATTTTTCCTAAAGATGATATACATTTAAGTACTACACCAAGTAAAACTATTTTATTGTATCTTTCTCAACAGGACACTGACCAATAAAGAAACAAAATCTTCAGTTTGTTTTGCTAGGTGTGTCATACCTTTTCTTTGAAAACCATTTACTGGAAAATTAATTACCTATGGTAAGGACGGATAGTAATGACCATCAGTAACCATAAGCAGGCTACTCTGAGTGAGAATGTTACAAACTAAAATCAACTCCATACATAATTCCAACCTTGCAAGTAAGCACACTAACTGAACAACATATTCTGCATGCATGCATGCATGTAGGTGTACATGTTTTAAATTATAATCCCTATTTCATGAAGAAATACACAAGTGTAACAACTTTTGTAATTATGTGATTTCAAGTTAATTTCTATTAACAAAGACTAAAACATACTGGAACTAGCTTATATAATTAAGTGGCTGGAATATATGTGACTGAGGTTGTCAACTTACAGTTATACATTACTGATATCAAGAAAAATGTAAGTTTGGGAACACCTGTAGTCTGAAGAAGAAAGCAGTCTTCTGGGATTTGGCACCTCGTATATGTGGTGTGCCAAATCCCAGAAGACTGCTTTCTTCATAGTCACCGCCGTGAAAGCCTCAAATCTTACACCTGTAGTCTGTCTGTGTACCTTCTTAAGTGAAGATTAGTAACACATCAGGATTACAATTCAGACTTCAGATAATGTCCAGCACTGACTTATATACTCATTTTGGGTTCAAATCATNGACTTCAAGTTAAATTCTATTAAAAAAGACTAAAACATATTGAAACTATGTTAAATAATTAGGTGGCTGGAATATATGTGACTGAGGTTAAGTTTGTGAACACCTGTAGTCTGTCTGTGTACCTTCTTAAGTGAAGATTAGTAACACATCAGGATTACAATTCAGACCTCAGATACACGTAATGTTCAGCATTGACTTATACATTCATTTTGGGTTCAAACCATTATCACCACCTCCAAGAAGATGCCTTAAGATCAGTCTTACACAGTTTCATGACCTGATACTATTATTGGCCGAGTCTACGTGTCTTTCAAGTTTTCATATACCTACAGAAGACACTTGATCATCTGCATGTGGATTAAACACAGGACTTTTACAACCATATATAAGATGTTTAACCACTGTACACTGTAAATAATAAAAGCTGTTTTTAATTTTTCATGCTTTACATGTTCCGGTCGAAACGACCACCNCTCAGATACACGTAATGTTCAGCATTGACTTATACATTCATTTTGGGTTCAAACCATTATCACCACCTCCAAGAAGATGCCTTAAGATCAGTCTTACACAGTTTCATGACCTGATATTATTATTGGCCCAGTCTATGTG